GAACACACATTGTCATGGCCAACGTAAGGTCAAGACATTTATTCCGAGGTCGGAGGTTAAAATCCTCACTCCCATAATTGTTGTACTAAAAAAGCGCCAAGGTATGACGAGATAGGGATGGATATTGGCGAGTTACAAGTTTTGCTGGTTAATTTCGATTTGCATTTCATTGTTATATTACCAAGTAAAACGATACAGAATCTTGTGATTCATGTCTTTCATCTCTTTTTACCCATAGATCGCTTATACTTTAAGGGTATTCTCGTGTCATCCATTTGCAGAAGTCACTGGGAGACTGTGAGATCCCACATCGGTTGGGGAGGAGAATGAATCATTCTTTATAAGGGTGTGGAAACCTCTCCCTATAGACACATTTTAAAAACATTGAGGGGAAGTCCGAAAGGAAATAGCCAAAGAGGACAATATCTGCTAGCGGTAGACTTGGGCCGTTACAGAGACCTTTAGCAAATCATCTTCACGGTAAGCCTATATCTATAATTTCAACATATGTTCAGCTGCACTACTTTTCTAGGACTTAATTGGAAGTTTTGACTTTGAATTCTTCTTTGTCACGGTTGGATGCCTGTTTATTTATTTTCTGGGACAACTTCTGGTAAACTGGATGTGTACTTGCAAGTTTTCTAAACAATAGGCTTTTACCCGTTTAGTCGTGTACTGAGCCTGTTTTTTAGGTAAGACTACTGGGTATTTTTAAAAGCGTAGAGAGAATGCAGCTTAGCTAATGTATTGTTGATAAAGACAGCACCTGGAGTATACTGCCCTCAAGAATCTCCATCTGTCTCTCCAGGCATGGAAAATAAAACGGTGCTCATTGATGGAACTCAATGGTATGGGCCATTTGGGGCATGAGTGATCAATTCTACCTGATGTTTAGAGCACTAAGAACAATCTCAAATGCCTATATCATTTTTCACCCATGAAGCATATCATTATTACATCAATTCCCATGCTTCCCTATATTAGTGCATGTTTGGTATGTGTTTTAAAATGTTTATATATTGGTAAAAGTGTAACGGCCCAAGCTTGCCGCTAGTAGATATTGTTTTCTTGGGGCTTTCCCTTTCGGAATTCTCCTTAAGGTTTTTAAAATGCGTCTGCTAAGAAGAGATTTCCACACCCTTATAAAGAATGTTTCGTTCTCCTCCCCAAATGATGTGGGATCTCACAATCTACCCCCCTTCAAGGCCCAATATCCTCGCTAGCACTTGTTCCCTTCTCCAATCGATGTGGGACCCTCTAATCCACCCCCCTTCAGGGCCCGCATCTTTGCTGGCACACTGTTTCGTGTCCATCCCCTTTCAAGGTTCAACCACATCGCTGGCATATAGATCGGTGTCTGGCTCTGATACCATTTGTAACGGCCCAATCCCACTGCTAGCAAATATTGTCTTCTTTAGGCTTTCTCTTTCGGACTTCCCCTCAAAGTTTCTAAAACGTGTTTACTAGGGAGAGGTTTTCACACCCTTATAAAGAATATTTCGTTCTCTTGTCCAACTGATGTGGATCTCACAAAAACATTTTTTTTAGAAATTAGTGGCCTTCGGTTAAAATTTTAAAGAGCTTTTCTGAACATTCTAATAACAGATTAAGAAAAACATTTAAAATGTTTTTAGAGGAAACATTTAGCTAAAAGTGCTCAGTTAAGAGCTTTTTTTTTTTCCAACAGGCATTCCCAAACGAACACTTAGTTGTGCTGAGTAATTAGAGGTTCGCTACTCTGGAGAATTAGGAGGTTGCTATCTGGTGCCTGCAAAATCAATGGAAGAAATCATAGGTTGGTGGAGCCAATCTTGCAGGGTGGCCCCAATCTCCAGCTTGGTAAGTGAATTTAAGAGCGACTGTGACACATATGAATGTCTTGGTAGATATTAAGTTAGTCGAGGTGTGTATAAATTGGTCGGAGAGCCAATATAAGATCATTTTAAAGTACTTGGGACCATTTTGCTATACCTATTATATCATAGATCATTGAGTTTCCTCCTTGTGGACTGATAGAGATATAGTACTTTATCATTGTCACATGGTTAAGGTTATTTGTGATGCTTTTATGTGAAACATTTATATAAATGCTTTTGAAATAAGCTCCAATTATGTGAACCATTTTGTTCTTGATCTGATACTGTGTTCTTATTCTTTAAATATGCTGCCCAGGATTCGAGGAAGAATGCATCAAATTATGGAAGAGTTCTAAATATGCTGTCCTTTTGTTCTTGATTTGAAACTTCTCTTACTGTCTGTGCTCTGTCATTGACAAGTCATTAGAGACCGTTTTGGTTAAATTACAAATTTAGTCCAAGAATTTTGAGGTCGGTATTTATTTGTTCTCTGAACCTTTAAAGGTGTTTGATAGACCCTTGAACTTTATTTTTTCTGATTAAGTTACCGATCAAGAGACCAAAAGGTTGTATTTATTATGTACACTTATCTAGCTCAATTTAACCTTGTGCTCATGGATCAAGCCCTATTATGGGTAATTTTTTATTTTTATTCTTTAAATTGTTGGCAGCTATAAATCTTTTTATCGGAGAAGAAATACAAATAGGTCACTCGATCAATACATCAAAGAGTTGTATTTATTTTGTAGGCCCATCTAGCTCAGTTTGTAGAGAGTAAGACTTTTACCGTTGTGGCCGTGGGTTCAAGCCCCATGGTGGATGATTTGCTTTAAATCTTTTTGTCAGAAAAGAGACTAATTAGGTCACTCAATCAAGACATCAAAGAGTTATTTGTTGTGTAAGCCCGTCTAACTTAGTTGGTAAAGTGCAAGGCTCTTAACCTTGTGTGGTTGTGGGTTTGAGCCCCACAATGAGTGGTTTGCTCTAAATCTTTTTATCGGAGAAAAGACACTAATTAAGTCACTTGATCAACACATCAAATGGTTGTATTTGTTGTGTAGGCTCGTCTAGCTTAGTTGGTAGAGTGCAAGACTATTAACCTTGTAGTTGTAGGTTTATGCTCATGGTGGGTGATTTGCTTTAAATCTTTTTATGGGAGAAGAGACACTAATTGGGTCTTGATGAAGACATGAAAGGGTTATATTTGTTGTGTATCTAGCTCAATTGGTAAAGCGCAAGGCTAAGGACACTAATTAGGTCACTTGGTCAAGTAGGCAAGAGCAAGTGATATGGAATCAACCCAAGGGAAAAGCTTTGATAACAAATGATATATGAAATCACTACAAGGGAAATAAGATTCAAATTATCCCTTGATTGAATATCTTAGGTCAAGAGAACATTTGTTTGAGATTCGAATCACTCCACAAACAAGATTGATGATTCTACATGCAACCTAAGCTATATATAATTGCAAAAAAATTTAGTCATTGGCTAAAATAAAGCACAAATGTTTCTTTTACTACATTTTCCAAGTCTCTTTCCAAATACAACATACATGGCTTTATATAGGATCAAAATGAAACTCTTGACCTTACATTAGAAATTTCAACCGTTTGTAACATTCATATTTTATGACTATAATTAAACCATTTGTAACATTCATACTTTATGACTATAATTAACCCGTATGTATACTTTATGATCATAATTAACCATGGTGTAGATGTAACTTCTAAATTGTAATCCACCCAAAATTTATAACAATGAAGTTTCATTCTTCTTCAATGTGACATGATTGAAATATCTTTTAATAATTTCAACAACATTTTCTTCCCATCATCATTGAAGTATATTGTATGATTGATGTCTCTTGGTTCATATGTAAAAAACTCTTAACCTTATGGACACCAATTGAGTAACTTGGTCAAGTAGGCCCGTCTAGCTCAATTGGTAGAGCGCAAGGCTCTTAACCTTGTGGACACTAATTGAGTCACTCGGTCAAGTAGGCGCATCTAGCTCAATTGGTAGAGTACTTAAGACATTAAATGGTTGTATTTGTTGGGTAGGCCCATCTAGCTTAGTTGATCGACGAAACACTAATTGGTTGTTTATGCCTGCCATGGCGGGAGCTTTGCTTTAATTTTTTTTAATAGAGAAGAGACACTAATTGGTTCACTCCATAAGATATCAAAGGGTTGTACCTATTGAAGCGCAAAGCTCTTAACCTTGTACTCATGGGTTTGAGTCCCATGGTCGGAGATTTGCCTTAATTTTGTTTTAACAGAGAAGAGACACTAGCAAAGAAACACTAATTGGGTCACTCAACAAGATGTCAAAGGGTTGTACCTATTGTGTACGCCTGTCTAGCTTAGCTGGTAGAACGCAAGGCTCTTAACTATGTGGTCATGAGTTTGAGCTCCATGGTGGGCGATTTGTTCTATCAATTGGTAGAGCGGCAAGGCTTTTAACCTTGTGGTCAAAGGTTCGAGCCCCATGGTGGGCGGTTTTCTCTAATTGTTTTTAATAGAGAAGAGTTACTAATTAGGCCACTCATCAAGACATCAAAGGATTAATGATTGTTTATTCATAAAGAGACAATAATGAATCAACACTAATTGGGTCACTCGACAAGATGTCAAAGGGTTGTACCTATTGTGTATGCCAGTCTAACTTAGTTGATAGAGTGCAAGACTCTTAACCTTGTGGTCATGGGTTCAAATTGTTTTTAATTGTGTATGCTCGTCTAGCTCAGTTGGTAGAGCGCAAGGCTCTTAACCTTGTGGTCATGGGTTCGAACCCCATGGTGGGCGATTTGGTATAGTCCTAGATGTTATAGCTCCTTTGGTAAAGCGCAAAGGGTTGTTTTGTGTTACCTATTGTGTATGCCCGTCTATCTCAGTTGGTAGAGTGCAAGGCTCTTAACCATGTGGTCATGGGGCGGTGGGCGATTTGCTATAATTGTTTTTAATTTTTAATTAGGTCACTCTTGGGTCACTCGACAAGATGTCAAAGGGTTGAACATATTGTGTATGCCCGTCTAGCTCAGTTGGTAGAGCGCAAGGCTCTTAACCTTGTGGTCATAGGTTCGAGCCCCAGGCGTCTAGTTGAGTTGGTAAAGTGCAAAGGGTTGTGCCTATTGTGTATGCCTGTCTAGCTCAGTTGGTAGAGTGCAAGACTCTTAACCTTGTGGTTATGGGATCGAACCCCATGGTGGGTGATTTGTTATAATTGTTTTTAATTTTTCTAATTAGGCCACTCTTGGGTCACTCGACAAGATGTCAAAGGGTTGTACCTATTGTGTATGCCCGTCTAGCTTAGTTGGTAGTGTGCAAGGCTCTTAACCTTGTGGTCATGGGTTCAAATTGTTTTTAATTGTGTATGCCCGTCTAGCTCAGTTGGTAGAGCGCAAGGCTCTTAACCTTGTGGTCATGGGTTCGAACCCCATGGTGGGCGATTTGGTATAGTCCTAGATGTTATATTAGCTCCTTTGGTAAAGCGCAAAGGGTTGTTTTGTGTTACCTATTGTGTATGCCCGTCTATCTCAGTTGGTAGAGTGCAAGGCTCTTAACCATGTGGTCATGGTTACCTATTGTGTATGCCCGTCTATCTCAGTTGGTAGAGTGCAAGGCTCTTAACCATGTGGTCATGGTGCGGTGGGCGATTTGCTATATAATTGTTTTTAATTTTTAATTAGGTCACTCTTGGGTCACTCGACAAGATGTCAAAGGGTTGAACATATTGTGTATGCCCGTCTAGCTCAGTTGGTAGAGCGCAAGGCTCTTAACCTTGTGGTCATAGGTTCGAGCCCCAGGCGTCTAGCTCAGTTGGTAAAGTGCAAAGGGTTGTGCCTATTGTGTATGCCCGTCTAGCTCAGTTGGTAGAGTGCAAGGCTCTTAACCTTGTGGTTATGGGATTGTGAACCCCATGGTGGGTGATTTGTTATAATTGTTTTTAATTTTTCTAATTAGGCCACTCTTGGGTCACTCGACAAGATGTCAAAGGGTTGTACCTATTGTGTATGCCGGTCTAGCTTAGTTGGTAGTGTGCAAGGCTCTTAACCTTGTGGTCATGGGTTCAAATTGTTTTTAATTGTGTATGCCCGTCTAGCTCAGTTGGTAGAGCGCAAGGCTTTTAACCTTGTGGTCATGGGTTCGAACCCCATGGTGGGCGATTTGGTATAGTCCTAGATGTTATTAGCTCCTTTGGTAAAGCGCAAAGGGTTGTTTTGTGTTACCTATTGTGTATGCCCGTCTATCTCAGTTGGTAGAGTGCAAGGCTCTTAACCATGTGGTCATGGGGCGGTGGGCGATTTGCTATATAATTGTTTTTAATTTTTAATTAGGTCACTCTTGGGTCACTCGACAAGATGTCAAAGGGTTGAACATATTGTGTATGCCCGTCTAGCTCAGTTGGTAGAGCGCAAGGCTCTTAACCTTGTGGTCATGGGTTCGAACCCCATGGTGGGCGATTTGGTATAGTCCTAGATGTTATTAGCTCCTTTGGTAAAGCGCAAAGGGTTGTTTTGTGTTACCTATTGTGTATGCCCGTCTATCTCAGTTGGTAGAGTGCAAGGCTCTTAACCATGTGGTCATGGGGCGGTGGGCGATTTGCTATAATTGTTTTTAATTTTTAATTAGGTCACTCTTGGGTCACTCGACAAGATGTCAAAGGGTTGCACATATTGTGTATGCTCGTCTAGCTCAGTTGGTAGAGCGCAAGGCTCTTAACCTTGTGGTCATAGGTTCGAGCCCCAGGCGTCTAGCTCAGTTGGTAAAGTGCAGAGGGTTGTGCCTATTGTGTATGCCCGTCTAGCTTAGTTGGTAGAGTGCAAGGCTCTTAACCTTGTAGTCATGGGATCAAATTGTTTTTAATTGTGTATGCCCGTCTAGCTCAGTTGGTAGAGCGCAAGGCTCTTAACCTTGTGGTCATAGGTTCGAGCCCCAGGCGTCTAGCTCAATTGGTAAAGTGCAAAGGGTTGTGCCTATTGTGTATGCCCGTCTAGCTCAGTTGGTAGAGTGCAAGGCTCTTAACCTTGTGGTTATGGGATTGAACCCCATGGTGGGTGATTTGTTATAATTGTTTTTGCAAGGCTCTTAACCTTGTGGTTATGGGATTGAACCCCATGGTGGGTGATTTGTTATAATTGTTTTTAATTTTTCTAATTAGGCCACTCTTGGGTCACTCGACAAGATGTCAAAGGGTTGTACCTATTGTGTATGCCCGTCTAGCTTAGTTGGTAGAGTGCAAGGCTCTTAACCTTGTGGTCATGGGTTCAAATTGTTTTTAATTGTGTATGCCCGTCTAGCTCAGTTGGTAGAGCGCAAGGCTCTTAACCTTGTGGTCATGGGTTCGAACCCCATGGTGGGCGATTTGGTATAGTCCTAGATGTATAGCTCCTTTGGTAAAGCCCAAAGGGTTGTTTTGTGCCCGTCTATCTCAGTTGGTAGAGTGCAAGGCTCTTAACCATGGGGCGGTGGGCGATTTGTTATAATTGTTTTTAATTTTTCTAATTAGGCCACTCTTGGGTCACTCGACAAGATGTCAAAGGGTTGTACCTATTGTGTATGCCCGTCTAGCTTAGTTGGTAGAGTGCAAGGCTCTTAACCTTGTGGTCAGGGGTTCAAATTGTTTTTAATTGTGTATGCCTGTCTAGCTCAGTTGGTAGAGCGCAAGGCTCTTAACCTTGTGGTCATGGGTTCGAACCCCATATTGGGCGATTTGGTGTAGTCCTAGATGTATAGCTCCTTTGGTAAAAGCGTAAAGGGTTGTTTTGTGTTACCTATTGTGTATGCCCGTCTAGCTGAGTTGGTAGAGCGCAAGGCTCTTAACCTTGTGGTCATAGTTTTGAGCCTTAGGCGTCTAGCTCAGTTGGTAAAGTGCAAAGGGTTGTGCCTATTGTGTATGCCCGTTGACACAATCGCACTCTTAAAGGCAGCGGACTAGCGATTGTGCGGCACTCACTTTCCAACGACAAGTGAGCTGAGCCAATTTGTACTTGCGTCGCCTACGGCCAAGCGACGTATGATCGAGCCTCTAGCCTCGGTTTTAAAAGAAGGTTTTGGAAAACGAGGGTAGAGAGAGATTTTAGAAAGAGAGATTTTTGAAAGAGACGTTATATAAGCAAGCAAGAGAGAGATAACAACGGCTTAGCATATATAACCTTGGGTAGGGAGAAGTTGACAA